GTTAATCTGCCCAGGCGAAGACACAGCACTGCATATGGAGGAAGTAGGACGTTGTGTTTGGCATAGGAATTCGTGCGTTTGTATGTCGCCAAAGATTAAGTCGTGGTCAGGTCTCGTGAGATGAGCTGCGACCTGAGAGCTCGTGCCACTGACCTCCACTTTCGCTGCACGTCCGGCCATCCGCATCCGAACTTGCTTGCAAAGGCACCAGATCCGGCCGACGGCTCCAGGCGTTTCCTACCATGGCAATGCATCGTTCGATATCTTTGCCTGGCGTACCGTGATAACCTTCAGTTTATGCGCAAGCCCAACTCCGTGCGGTGTGAGAAAGCGGGTGGCGCCTTCCGATACTTACTGGACACGTGGGAGCGCTTACCAAACCAAAGGTCGATGCGGTTTGGCTTCGTGTTCTGTTTGCGCGGGCACCGGGTGTTAAAGTTGCGCGGATAGCCATCCGGTTGGAGCACCTGCTGAAGGCATTGTAATTCCACAACCTTCCCTTCCGGTGCAATGCAGTGTGTCCCAACACACCAGTATAGCGGTTGCGATTGATTGGATGGTTGCTGTTGAGACTAATTACCTGTGCGTCATTTGTAGTTTTCATAGGTTTTTTTCTTCTTCCCACATTGTATATGGTGTATCGGGAAGATGGCATTGAGATAGTCTTTCAATTTCAACACCTAATCGCCTTCGATGACGACAAACATTCAATTCACGACAAGAAGTCTAAACAGTAAGGAGTAGTTCTAGTGGAGGCCACGGTTAACTGTGTTCATACATCCTCTGCAGACATCTCATAGGTGAGAGTATGATTCAACATACGGAGAACGAGGTGCTAGCTAAAATCTCAGACACAAGTATTTCGCTAATTTTACGCTGCTGCATTGCGCAACTGCAAGGGGTGCGGCCCACTAGTGGACTCCCCAGTGTTCACTATGTGCTTTCTGGTATATATGTACTCCAATTGTTCTTTTGTTGTTCCCTTCCATTTTCGAGGAAGTTAATGCGAGAATCTGTAGTAAATCCTTCGGATCAAACCTTTTCAGACCCGCTTCAAAAGATGCTATGAGCATTTGAACTGAACTCTATCAGCTACTGCAGAATAATCACGTAATATTCAAAAGCTGTCAACATACAGTCAGTAGTATACAAATGACAGCCTGACCCTCGTTGCTGAAGATGTTCACCATGTACCCCGCAGAATGGTGGGTGCCGGGACGGTGACTTGTGCGTGAATTTGTTTCTACTGATAGAAGTAGACTTTCGTTGTATGCACCACGCTCCTCCCTCCTCCACGTGGGTCTGGTGTCAGGATAGAGTCTAGAAGACCGGAGGCAGGACCGGGTACAGGTGGTTGACGCAACGTGAGCCTGCAACTTGGTGTGCTCCCACTCCTCCCCATGCATGGTATTCTTAAGGGTGCGCATCTCATATAACGTCTGCCATGCTCCGATATGGCCCCGGTGTTGGTCCGGTGCATCCACCGCAAGGTCAGAAAGCTGTTAGCATGAGGGCGATTTCCGCAATCTACATTGTTCCGCGTAAATGGAGTTCACACCGATGGAAAACGGCGGTATATAAACTTTGTAGTGATCAGAAGTGACTCCCGAAAGAGGAACGTGTATATAAACATGGAGTGGGCAGTCAAAACCAAGTCATGATCAAGTAAAGAAGACAGGAGGCAGAAGAGGGTACAGGTAGCCGGCGCGGCTTGAGTCTGCACCTACCCCATATTCGCCACTTGTTATGGGGACGCATCTCCAATAACGCCTACCAGATCCTCAGCGTAATAGGCTCCTGAATGCTAGTACTACCATCTTCGTATATTCATTAATGACGACCTGAAGGTATGCAACCCAAATAACGCCTGCCATGCTCTGATCTGGCTGCAGTGTTGGTGCAGTGCATCGGCCGCATGGACTGTTGTAGGAACAAAGTAGTATACAAATTCGGAATAATTAACCATACTGGCAGCACGAGTACTAGTCAGCTACCGACCTCACGTAATGTTAGCAAAAAATCTGATGAAGTACTTACGTGTAGTTTTAATATTGATCATACTGCGGCATAATTCCATGGCATTTCTGACACGCCAGGGACCGGCTTTTCAACAAACTTCTCAGCCATCCACACAAAGCGCATTCAGCAAAAGGTGACTAAGTAAAAGTATGATTTTTTCTATAGATTTACGATGTCCTTATAAATTCAGATGCATTTTATAGAAATCGTCAGTAAAAATACGATTTTATGAGCTCATTTGGTAGAAAAATACATTTTCTTCAAAGTTGATACTCGACAAGAGGGTACCTTTCGGTTTCAAGAAAGTTTCTATTTATGAGCTTTCCTAAGACCGTGCAAATCCCATTCAAATGGCATTACAGTTGCACATATTATTAGTTATAAAACATAGCTCCATACACTGCATTAAAAAAACTAAAACAAGATAGTAACTTCTTAAGGAATTAAAGGGAAGTATGCGCTTTTTAACATGGAAATTCTATAGCCAGTAGGCTAAATACCCTAAAAGCAAATGAATCGGCAGATGGGATGTAAAATTATGTCGGAAATGTGACAAAAAATTTAAAGTGCCAATACCTCCTTATGTTGAGTATAAAACTGTAAGCAAACGGAATTTATTATCAAGCGAGTACAACAAAGAATATTTTTGCTTACATTTTCTACACAATATACTTTAATTGGCCAATACAAGCGAACATGCGAGTCCCAGGAAGTAATTGAGAAGAAGAAGAAG